CCAAAAAAAACCTAGAAAATTGCCCCCAAAAAAATACGAAATTTTCATATTAAAATAGAGAAAATTTCATTTTAATCCGATTTCATTTTAATCCGATTTCATTTTAATCTGTCACATTAATTACCAGTGCCAAATGAACCATATAGTTAATTACCAGTGCCAACTGTTGGGCTCCGTAATACGAGCGACTATACGGATTTCCATTTAAATATCCAAAACGGATCAATTCAAGTGCAGAACAATGAATAGACATCACTCGTACCATCACCCATATTTGGCATCCGCTTTTGAGCGACATCGAGTTCTGTAATACTCGTACAATTTAGAGTTTAAAGAGGCTCGTAAAATTTAGATCCATTAGGGCGTTTGAATTTTTTTATATTTCTATCGCTATTAATAGAAAACTAAATATTTAACCAAGTATTCTATATATAAATATTCATCGTTAAGTTGGAATTTAATCAAACATGCAAAAAGGCAGCGCGAAAAAATCACTTCCATCGATACATTTATGGAGAGCATGGCTGATCATTTCCGATTGCAGTAACGAGCCTCTGTTATTTTTAACGAGCGAATTTTTAAATCATCAATGGCACACGAACATGGGCTGATCATTTCCATCAGCAGTAAACAAATTCATTTCTGATAACAACTCAGAGGGATACGAATTTTTTTATACATAATATATTTCTATCGCTATTAATATAAAACTAAATATTTAACCAAGTATTCTATATTAAATATTCATCGTTAAGTTGGAATTTAATCAAACATGCAAAAAGGCGGCGCGAAAAAATCACTTTCTCCTTCCCAAATAAATTATCAATGACACACGAGAGAGCATGGCTGATCATTTCCGAATTTTTTTATAAATTAATATAAAAGTAAATAAATCATCAATGATACACTGATCATTTCCGATTGCGAGAAAGTAATAATTTATTAAAAACCTGCTATTTTATTAAAACCTCAGATATTTTATGATTCTTTATCTGATAACAACTCAGAAGGATACGAATTTTTTTATACATAATATATTTCTATCGCTATTAATATAAAACTAAATATTTAACCAAGTATTCTATATTAAATATTCATCGTTAAGTTGGAATTTAATCAAACATGCAAAAAGGCGGCGCACTTTCTCTTTCCTAATCAAATTATCAAGGTCAAGAAAAAATCACGCAATTTAAACAAGAACTAGCAAAAAATCGACCAATAATTCACGAAATTAAATCATCAATGACACATGACACATTTATGAGAACTTGGCTGATCATCAGATATTTTATGATTCTTTATCTGAGGGATACGAATTTTTTTATACATAATATATTTCTATCGCTATTAATATAAAACTAAATATTTAACCAAGTATTCTATATATAAATATTCATCGAATTTAATCAAACATGCAAAAAGGCAGCGCGAAAAAATCACTTTCTCCTTCCCAAATAAATCATCAATGACACACGATACAATTATTAGCTTTGGTGAAGAGAAGACTGACTTTGAGACCGATTCGAATTTATTGAAGAAGTTCCGATATTTCGAGGTAGCATTTTCCGAAGGGTGGGTGAAAAAAAACAACGAGGATATGATTATTCTTACGAAACCGAATATCGAATGTCGTGTTTTTCAAATATTGCTAAGGTAATTTCATGTCATGTTATAAATGAAACGATACCATTAAATGAAAGCAATAATAAATTTCGAGTTTAAATTTAAATAGTTATGTTTGCGAAGAAACAATTGATCTTAAAAATTATGATGTTTCGACGCTTTTGGATTTATTATGCGCAGCCGATGAGTTGATGGTCAACGAGAAGATTCTTAAGAAACTGATTAAAAATATCCAACTTCACCTCAAACAGCATTTTAAATCTTTGGTAAAGGATTTCACCGTCGTAATTGAACAAATTCTATCCAAGTATAGAACTCACACAACCGTCGCATGTCCAAATCAAGCTATTGATTTCCGATCAGACTATGTTATCAAATCTGATGATCTAAATTTGAATGATATTTTGAAAAAGGTGCTTGAACGTGGAATCTCTCAAGCTAAGAGTCTTGAAATCTCTCAAGCTACGGACCTAGATTTGAAGGTGATTTGGGAAAAGGTCTTTAATGAGTTTGGAATCGTTCAAAAACTACAAACAGGGGCTGATGAAAATCAACAACTACAAACAAAGGCTGATGAAAGTCGTTACTCATCATTAATCCGCGCCCATATTAACTTAGTTGATTATTATAGGGAAGTTAAACCCTATGCAAAAATTTTGCAAGAAACACTTTATGAAGATTTGCTGAATACGATTACCAAACTTGATAATACATGCACCGTATATGATTACCAAACTTGATAATACATGTACATTTTTGTTTGATAATGCTAGTTTATTATAGAAATAACTCTTGTTTTTCTTGTTTAATGTAACCGTTTATAGTAATTATCAAATAAATTCTTTGTATTTTATTAACTAGTTGTTGCTAATTATAAAATAAGATTATATTATAGCAACACAAATCGATTAGAAACATATGGAGATATTGATTTTTGAAGTTTATGTCCAAATATTCGACGTGCGGCTTTTCTATGTTTTAATATGTTTTTATATGTTTTTAGAGGAAACATTGAATGTTTGGAAATTTTTCTGGAGATGCGCGATTGGGCTGAAATTTTACAGGTGGTTATGGTTTGTTATATACTATATGTAAGAAAATTCCAAAGCGTTTTACTTGTTCCTGTCCCAAACTAGGAGCGTTCGGATACTTTTGCTCCCTACTGTAAAAACATAACGATACAGATATTGACGTTTTTTAATTTATGTAGATCTCGGGATTTGATTGGTTCATTTTCACATGATTTGCCTAGACATAGCGATAGATGTACTCGAAAAAAATTACGAGTACCGTATTTGCCCCAAAATAAACACCCCCGAAAATAAGCACAAATGGCCTTTAGTTTTCAAATATAGGTTTTTTAAGGATAAGCACGTCCAAAAATAAGCACATATTATATTTTATTAATTAGTATCAGAATTAGTGGCTGAATCATCAATAAGCTAATTTATTTTTATTTTCTTCACACCATTTAATATGAGCATATGTATGTGTTTCCGAGATATAAGGTTTCTTTGCTGCGATACGTGAATAAAGTCCGGAGTTGTGCAATACATTTGCGACGGTTGATAAACTACAAGTGAGGCCTAAATTGTTGACTATTTCGCGTAGTGATGCATGTCGTTTTTTGCTAGCTTCACGTATAAGTAAATCCTTTTCGTGATTGTTTAAGGCTTGTAATCTTCCCGAACGTGGTAAGTTTTCACTTTTCTGGTTCGTTTATATTTGTTTAGAATGTGGCGTACCGTTGTAGGGTCGCGTCCGAGTATTTTTGCGATTTGAGCGGCATTTGCGAAGTCCATGTACGCCAAAATCTTCCCCTTTTTCAATTTCGTTAAGGTGGACACCATTTTTTAACCTAACGAAATTATAGCGTTGACGAAGTGGCAAAGATAAATAAAGTGATGTTTATTATCAAAAAAGGGAAAAAACTTGATAAATGTATTTTTAAAAAATGGTTATACACGTAAATCGGGCGATACTTTCTGTGGGTACTGTACATTTGTCATTCAAAAAAATATGCCCGAAAATAAGCACGATCCCGATTTAGAGCTCAAAGTATGCCTCAAAAACTCGTGCTTATTTTGGGGCAAATACGGTATGTCCAATGACATCACCGTCCGCGATCTGTTGCAATCGGAGAATTCAGCCATGGAGAATCTCAGATGAACTTATCATCCAGATGAACAGATGAACAAATAAACAAATAGAGGAAATACATTATGGAGTGATGCCAATGCGCAATGTGACAATGGTGTATGTTGGCGTTGTTTAATGCATTATTGAGAATCAAATGAGGTTTGATAAAACAAAAATATGATCACGTATTCAATTAAGCGTTATAAAGAAAAACTCATCGTGAAAAAACCGATCAAAATTCCGGATCAACACGTCCCGCACGTACCCTAACCCTTACATCATGGTTTAATACAAGGAAAATTAAGTTTCATTAACATAGCGACGCTGATAGTTAAAGAGAATTAAATGTCTTAGAAATTGTCGTATAATTATTTTTGCGATGATAAACTGTAAAATCGTATAACTCTTTAAAATCATGGGTTTTTGGGTGTGATCTCTTTTACACTTTTTTTATGTGTGATTATACGGCGGTGTGATTATGTACGTATTATGCAAAAACAAAATATTAGAATGCATTTATAACTAAAAAATTAAATCGACGGAAAAGACTAAACCAAAAAAATTAAAGTGAAATTTTTATATTCATTAGATACTAAAGGATAATTTTGAATATTTTAAGAATAAAAATTTGGCAAAATTCATAATTCTTCATCTACGTTAAAACACCGATTCAACCACATGAATTCGTTCAATTCTTCCGGATTTAAAAGATTCAAGATTTACTGAAGTGCGTATGCTATAGTTTAGTTATTCCAACCTTCGCACCAAAGTAAAACACTCTGTAATGAAAAATACGTATGTATCGAAGCTGCAACTCATAAATGCATTTGCTGTTTTTGACCTATAACTTGAGCACAAATAGTAACATGTGTAACTTGTTAGATAATTATAGAAATTTCCGAACATATCCACGATTTTGTTTTGTTCAAGAAGACGGGATGGCTGGTGTGTACTCTAGCAAATGCCGAAGATATGGATAACGTATCGCGCGTCTTGTTCCACGTTTGAAAAAAAATTTTTATTTGTGGAGATCATTTACATCGTAAAATTTATCTTTCTATTTTTGTCTTTTTCTCGTGTTAGAAATATACAAATATGATGTAGACAACGTGTCAAAAGAAACTTTACTGCAAATAAGATCCAAACGACGATATGCTAACACTAATTTGACCTATTACGTCAGCCAAATAATGGGAACGTTGTCTCTTAAATTATAATTGTTTCGTTTTACATGAGTTGGGCCTTAATTCTTTTTAATTCTTAACGCTAATTATGTCATGTTTCAATTTGATCTGATTAGATCTGTAATGATAAAGCGAGTTCTTTCCCGATGGAATTCGTACAAATATAAAATTCCCTCGAAACTTCCAAACCGAAAATCTTGATAGAAAAGTAAGAGATCTAAAGTTGTCTAATTAATAGATGGCTATTTCATGGGACCCTATATCATATCTTCATCTTCTTTCACACGTGTACGTGTAAATTTTTCAAAAGTGAATAAATGTTGATGTATACAGCAGGACGATACAATTGATAATGGCCATTTCACTTTCACGAAAAGAACAGGGCAAAATTTCATGTTTCACAAAAATAGAGACCAAGATTTGCTCTGTGTAGTGTCTTAAACAATGCCAAACTTTTCCATCTTAATGGTGTTTGGTATATCTCAAGATTCTATCGCTATGGAGGGCTTGTTTCATCCGATAGTGCTGTCAGGTGATTATGTTATGGAAAATTCTTCAAAGAACACTTGTATAATGACAGAAGTATTCTATGGAAAACGCATGTTTATGAATAATTGATGTGCATGTTATAAAGGAAGTTTGTGAAACCCCGATACGTATTTTCAAATTATTTTCAAGTTTTATCCGCAAAATACCGATATGGGTGTATGGGTGTAAAACGGTTAATTTATATCAAACAAAACTAGAACTTGTAAATTATATAGATTTCCTTTTTGCTTTTTATTTTCTTTATCATTCATATATATATTAATAATTAAATTACAGAAATTTCATTTATAAAAACCGAAATTCGCTTTATCCATTGATAACGATAATATGGCTATATAAAAAAGAGAAAATTCATTCGGGACTAAATTAACTAAAAAACCCCATTTTAATTAATAGTTTGGCCATAATAATCACGAAAAATGAATGTTAATTTTCCCATAATTAAAGTTCTATTATTGTTGGAGTCGAGGTTCACAACACCAAATTAGCAAATTGTCTCTCCAAACACTATATTTTATTGAGTATAATGCTGGCTAAACATTGAATGCACCCCCCATTTCTTTAGCGATACAATAAACCTAATCTTACATGTATAAATAATGAATAATGATATCTGTGTAATGATATTTAAATGCATTTAAAGTTTCAATAAACCACATTTAAAGACGTAAATATTAAGACTTTTTCGTTGCTTTGATCGTTTTCGCCCATAAATATATATATACCTATTTATATTTATATTTTTTTTACTAAGACAGAGCCTCGCGGTAAGTATTATGCGCACGCGTTTTTTTATTCGTTTTAGAAATGTATTACATGAATTTTCTGTTACACCTATTTAACTAATCACAACGAAACTAAACAAAATCATTAACCTTCACATTTTGTTGTTGTATTATTCATTCTTTCCTTCGAACAGAGTTGATTTTTTCACAAAATGTATGTTTGTTATTTTTTTTTGTTGGACCGGTCTATTATCTGACGCGTTTCTATATCTGTTTGGACGCGTCAACCCTTGGAAATACAGTCTTAACATGATATTAATAAAAAATTCGATGTAAATACTTCATTTTTAGTTTTTACAAAGTTCACACCGGAGAATAATCCGGGAAGCTTTACCGTTACAAGGCAAATAGATGGACAGTGAAAAGAAAGACATATTCACTAATTTAACAACAACAACAACAACCACAACAACCACAATAACAACAACCTCTTCCTCGACTCCAACCATCGCTATCTCTAATATTAACAACAACAGCAGTTCTTTAGAGCATATTCCTTTGAGTGATAGACAACCCAAGAGTTCGACCGTTCCAAAAATAGTTACCCACATTGATACGAGTGATTCAACAATAGGCGGTAGCAGTGAAATTTCGCCTACACTTTTGTCCGTAAAAATTACAAATTCGTCACAACCTAGTCCTTATTCGACCACTTCAACTAAGCGCGGTGAAGAAGAACTAGCGAATATAATTGATAAACAGTCGAATATGCAAGCTGTTGATAAGCGTGACACAGAAACTTACAGTGAAAATCCATTTGCTTTCAATCCCACGATTCTTTCTAGATTGGTTGATCCGGACAATTTTTCTTTACTAAAAAAAATTGGTGGCATTAATGGCTTACTAAAGGGATTACATACTGATCCTGATTTAGGTCTAAGTCATGATGAAAAAGCCCCACTACCGCCTATAAAACTTGATGACATTTCAAGTAAAGAAGATGATAATTATGATTATTACGGTGATGATCCATTGAAACAAAAAGAAAATATTGGCTTAGCTGATACGGATAAAAAAGCATCGAAAAAGAAGAAACCATCAAAAAAAGAAAAAAAGGCTTTGTTAGCTAAAGCTGAATTGACGAAAGATGGGGCTCCGTTTTCGCAGCGAAGACGGGTTTTTGGTATTAATGTATTACCTCCGACAGAGTCCAAAACTATATTTGAATTAATGTGGATTGCATTGCAAGACAAAATACTGGTAAATAAACAAGAATAAGTTAACTTTCATAAACTAGCTATCAATTCATCATCATCATCATCATCATCATCATCATCATACTTATCAAATCTCGATCCTCATACATGATTAGATAATCTTAACTGTTGCCGCATTCATATCATTAGGGTTAGGTTTGTACGAAGATTTTGCTCCTGACAAAAACAATGCGGAAGACCCGAAAATAAAATGGGTGGAAGGTGTCGCTATTTTAATTGCTATCGTGATTGTTGTAATGGTTGACAGTGTAAATGACTGGCAAAAAGAAAAACAGTTTCAACGCTTAAATGCGAAAAAAGAAGATCGTAATGTCAAAGTGACGCGTAACGGAAAAGAAGCTCTTATCTCGGTACATGATGTTTTAGTTGGTGATATTTTACATATAGAACCGGGTGAAATTATTGCAGTAGATGGTGTCCTTATATCAGGTCATAATATACATTGCGATGAATCATCTGAGACGGGTGAATTTGACACAGTAAGAAAACTGAATTATGAGGAATGTCTAAAGAATTTTTCTGATCAAGAATCTACAAGTGATATAGCACACCACTCAAAAGCTGACCCTTTTCTAATAAGTGGTAGTAAAGTGCTGGAAGGAGTTGGAAAATATGTCGTAACTGCTGTCGGTGAAAATTCACGCAACGGACGAACCAAAATGGGTATTCTTTTTTTGTTCGCTGATGAATTACCGTTTTTTATGCTTTTATTAATTGGTTTATATTTAAAGGCTTCAGAAATGACTCGCGTGATACACCACTTCAGGAAAAATTGAACGATTTGGCAGAAAGAATTGCAAAATTGGGCGGTGCTGCTGCTTTACTGATGCTTATAGTGTTACTAATCAAATATTTTGTGAATTTCCGAAATGGTGTACCAAATGCAACTCAAGCATTTGAAGATCTAATTAGAATTGTCATTTCAACAGTAACTGTAGTAGTCGTGGCAGTACCCGAAGGATTACCTTTAGCAGTGACTCTAGGTACGCATCTTTTTATGATCCAGCCCCATTAAGTCATACCTCTATAAAATCACACTTCTATAAAATCACACCCTATATAGTCACATTTATCCCTCTATATAATCACAATCCACACGAACGTGTGATTATATGGAGGTATGACCGTACTTTTAAACTTTTGAATTAATCGATTTTCATATATGATTAGCTTTGGCATATGCTTCAACTCGTATGTTAAAGGATAACAATCTTGTGCGCGTTCTATCTGCATGTGAAACGATGGGAAATGCAGACATTATTTGTTCCGACAAAACGGGAACGCTTACGCAAAATAAGATGACAGTTGTCGCTGGTACAATTGGAATTTCGATCGCATTTGTCAGAGATCAAGAATCATTTCAAGCGATCACTAAAAAATCGTCACGGAAAAGTTCCACCGAAAATTCAATCGTCGTCGATAATCCTATTCAAATGGCTGAGCTAACAAGGACAATTCCACACGATTTAATCGAGACATTGAAGCAATCAATCGCAATTAATTCAACTGCTTTTGAATATGTGGATGAAAATGGTAAAACAACATTTTCAGGATCAAAAACCGAGACAGCTTTACTAAGCTTGCTCGTCGACTTGGGTCTGACTGACTATAAAGAATTAAGGCGTGAAGCTAAAACAGTGCAAGTCTTTCCGTTTAGTTCGGATCGAAAAGCGATGGGTATGGTGGTTAAATTATCGGATTCAAAATATAGATTTTACGTGAAAGGAGCCAGCGAAGTATTAGTTAGACATGCGGAATCGATAGTAGTCACAGATCCCACAAATAGCACAGAATTACGGACTATGAAATTATTACCTGAACATTTAAATGTTATTCAACGAATAATTGTAAAATATGCAAGTCGAACATTAAGAACACTAGCACTAGGTTATCAGGATTTTGAAGAATGGCCTCCAAAAGGAATGAAAGTTGATGATGATGGAGACGTGATTTTTGAAGAATTAGTAGATAAAATTATACTTTTAGCAATTGTTGGCATTGAGGATCCGCTCAGAGATGGTGTTCGTGAAGCCGTTAAGAAATGTCAAAATGCTGGAGTTTCAGTAGTGATGGTCACTGGTGATAATGTTCTAACGGCTAAATCGATTGCAACACAATGTGGCATATATAATCAAGGAGATATAGTGATGGAAGGACCACAGTTTCGTAATTTATCACCACAAGAAATGGAAAAAAAGATCCCAAAGCTTACAGTGCTTGCCAGATCAAGTCCCGAGGACAAAAGAATTCTTGTCGCAAAGTTAAAAGATCTCGGTTGTATTGTAGCAGTAACTGGCGATGGAACTAATGATGGCCCTGCGCTAAGAACCGCAGATGTGGGATTCTCGATGGGTATCTCCGGTACAGAAACCGCTAAAGATGCTTCCTCAATTATTTTAATGGACGATAATTTCTCGAGTATTGTGAGGGCTATTATGTGGGGTAGGAGTGTAAATGATTCGGTGAAGAAGTTTTTACAATTTCAATTGACAGTAAACATTACCGCAGTTCTCTTAACTTTTATTTCTGCTGTTTCGAGCGGAAGTGAAGACTCTGTGTTATCAGCTGTGCAACTTTTATGGGTAAATCTTATTATGGACACTTTAGCTGCTTTAGCACTGGCAACGGATCCGCCAACAGAAGAACTATTAAATCGTAAACCAGAAGCTCGTAATGCTCCGTTGATATCGCCTAACATGTGGAAAATGATCATTGGTCAAAGTATTTTCCAATTAGTGATCACCTTAACATTATTATATGCTGGAAGTGAAATTTTGAATTATAGAAAAGATCAACAAGCTGAATTGCAAAGCCTAATCTTTAATACATTTGTATTCTTACAAATATTCAATGAAGTCAAGTAAGTTAATTTTAGCTTGCCTATACAAGATTACAAAGTTAATATTTAAATAACCTAATGAATTTTCTAGTTGTCGTCGACTTGATAATAAATTGAATATATTTAAAAATGTTTTCACCAACAAATTTTTCATGGTGATTTTTGTAATCATATGTGTTGGACAAATTTTAATAGTTCAATTGGGTGGCGCTGCTTTCCAAGTACAATCATTGAATGGAAGCCAGTGGGCAATCTCTCTTGGTCTTGGTTTTCTATCAATCCCCTTTGGTGTAATTATCCGGTTAATACCCAATGAAATATTTTCGATCTTTGGCTCTAAACAACACCACCGCACAAACACACTTCAACCATCAGGTTCGATTTATGCTACCTCATCTGGAACACAAACAAGTGATCTCAACAAACCCTTATGGACTGACGTACAAAAAGAATTAACTTTCTTTAAATCAATACGTGGTGGTCGTCTTCGAGCATCATTACATTTCGATAAACGAGATAAAGAGGATTCACATACTCTATTTGCCGCAGCAACAATAGTACCTAGTTTAATTGCTGGTTCAGTTGGCGCCGGGTGGACAACCGCGAATCGTGCATCTAGACCAGCAAGTAATAACCCAAGCGCTAGCCAACTAGACTTAAGTTCTACATGGTTTACATCTACATCAACGGGAGGGACAGGAATGAATGAGAATATCACACAATTACCTACAACATCTGAATAGGAAGGTATTATTGCATCTCTTTTAGAATAAACCTATTAATGTTTCAGTTACATGATAAGGAAGAGGATTGAAAAATTCGAACTAAGGTTAATAATTAATTATATGTTGCATAGCACAGGTAATGAATTTCATGAACAGGAGTATCCTTCACCAAGTAATCGAAAACACGGTAAATCGTAAATGTTTTGGATAAAATATAAACAAATCTCCTCCGATCAGCCGAATTTTTCGTAAAAAACAAGATATATATAGTAAAACTTTAAACAAAAACTTAATTTTCTCAAAAATAGACATTAGAACTAGAACTAAAAAATTTTTGTATAAAATTACTTGTATTCTTGCCTCAAGAAGTAAAATTGTTTTGACAAGGGAACGGAAACTTGTGTGAATGCAAAACTAATTTCATCCATTTCTCGTCTAGCCTTCGCTCGAGGACGTTTGGTATACAGTACTATTTGTAACGTTGACTAACTTGAGTTTTTCATTCAGTTATTCTCGTTAGCATATACATTCCAAACGTGAACTTTGACGATGACAATAGAAAGAGAATCAAGGTTGAAGGTGCCGCTTTTTTTACGTTATACATGAAAGACACGGGGAAAATTTAGATATATTACCGGTAAACACGCCTATTGATTTTCCATCCCACCGGGTCGGCTCGAAGCCTTGAATGTAAGACGACCTCAAAGATCGTATACGCCCTAATACCAGCTTCGTGGCTCGGCTCGAAGCCTTGAATGACAGAGGATCTCAAAGATCCTAGCCACGCCACCATTTCTTGTTTATATAAATCTTACTTGCCTGCTTATACTGATCGAGTAACAGTTGTGCTAGCTGGCGTCTTCGGTCTGTCCCACAATTAGCTATTACTTCGAGGGACGTAAGATAACATTCTATCTTCTTTCCGAACGGTTCTAATTCGCATTCGTCTAGAAACTCAAGAATATTCCATTCGGAGCACTTGCGATCGAAATATTTATGATCCTGTTTTGGTCAATAGAGCAAAGAAAGCGAGAGTTAGATCACACAAAAAAATCGAAAGTTAATAATCCGTGTATCATTTATATACTTTAATTTATGTCGCACACGCCTACATACATTGTACAAGATTTACCCCTGTATTTCTCACATATTAATAACTACACACCCCCACAATATATTATCGGAAATAACAAAAATAAAAATATCATTTTGTAATCTAATATCTCAAAATCCAGTGATCCCATTTAAATGAAGATATACCATAAGATTTATGGAGTTGGAACAAATTTAATGGGAGTATTTTCATTTAAATTGGATTATTGGGTTTTGAGATATTGGAACTCAAAACAGCAGATTTGTTTTTGGAATTTCCGGTAATATATTGTAGGGGTGTGTATATATATAGCCTTGCTGATATAATGATTTTAAAACATCAGCTAATCTTTGAAAAATGAGAAGAATTTATTAATATATTTAAAAAAGTCTTTCAACCATCTTATTATTAATAATATTATTATTAACTTTATATTTTCTATCAGACTAATTTTATATAAAATTATGATATAAAGTTATTAATCAAATAGAAAATATTATAGATAATCTAGTGATATATTTATTAATTTGTTACAAAAATAGAGATTAGTTATCAAGTACCAATTATATTAGAAAATACTTGAAAATTATTATTATTATTTTTAATTAAATAGATAAATAATAAATCAAATAATATTTAATTAATTAAAAATATTGTATAATAAGAATAATATTAGTAATTATATCTAATTAAGAGAATTGAACTAGGTATTTATAAGTAAAAATACTTTTAAAAAAATAAAAAAAGAAGAGATAATAATAGAATTTATAAATTTATTAATAAATAATATAATATAATTATAATTTTTTGATATTTGATTATTTTTAATTAATATTAACAAAATATTTAATAAGTTTATAATAAGCAAAGTTATAATATTTTCATTAGTTAAATGAGTAATTATAATTATAAAGTATAAATAATAATAATATAAAATAATTTTTATTAATTAAATAAGTCAAAATTAAATATAAATAAATTAAAAATAATAGATAATATAAATATATATTTAGAAATATTAGTTTACTTAAAAATTATTTTTATTTCTTGAATATTATCTTTAATAATTTTTTTAACTAATATATTTATTTATTAATTATAAAGATTTTTTTATAATAAAATATTAT